TCTCAGAAACCAAAGCCCATTCACGCTAATTCTTTTACCGTGTTAGTACACGCAACCCCCCCTTTCGAATGGGCTATAGCTCATCTCATTCCGTATTTTACAGTTCGTGGCATCTCCTTGTGAATGAATTTCCACCAAAGGAGCATTTTGCATTAAAGAACACAATAATATGTGGACTTTGGTTTGGAGATAAAGATCCAGATATGATTCAGTTTCTTTCTCCTTTTTTATGTGAAGCTAAAAAACTGTATTGTGAAGGATTAAATTGGACATCTCCAACTGGAGTTCGTATAAATAGTAAAATTGTTGTTTTAAACTGTGTTCTTGATTCTATAGCAAAGCCTCTAGTTCAGCGAATAAAGCAATTTAATGGTTGTTATGGATGTAGTTATTGTACTCATCCTGGTTATGGCCTAATGCCATCTGCTGAGCCTGATACAAGTCCAATTACAGTTAAATATGCTATGGATATAGGTGATAATTTTGTTGTCAATATGCTTCAAGATAATAGTCTTACTTACACCGTGACGCGAATTGAAAATGCTACTAATAACATAAAAATATACGAGGTTGAAGATCGAATTAATAACGATATCAGGAAAGATATGTTACAGGTTGAGCAAACTGGTATTGAAATTTGTGGCGTTAAAGGTGTTAGTCCTGTTAGCAGTTCTTTTTAGAATTTAACCTTGTACATGGATTTGTATTAGATTATATGCACTGTGTCCTTTTAGGTGTAATTAAATTTGTCACTTGTCTGTGGTTAGATAGCTCATCCCATAATGAAAAATATTATATCGGATTAAAACGTGATCATATTGATAAAAGACTTTTAACAATACGTTCACCTTCAAGTTTTCCAATACTTCCCAGATCACTTAAAGAACGTTCTTTTTGGAAAGCTAATGAATAGCGCGCATGGCTTCTTTATTACAGCTTGCCATGCTTGAAAGATATTCTGCTTTTAAGATATTACAAACACCATTGTTTATTTGTTTCTGCCATTTATACTTTTCTTCAACACAAGATTTCTATTTCTGATCTCGATAATGCCACTTGGAATCTGGTTCAATACGTAACAGATTTTCAAAAGTTATATGGCCCTCAAAATATGACGTATAATGTACACTTGCTGCTACAGATAGCTTAGGTAAAACGGTGTTAATGTTTGGACCATTGTGGTGCTATTCTGCATTTTCATTTGAAAGTAGAAATGGATTTCTTCTAAAGCTTGTAAAAGGAACGCGTGGCGTACTAACACAAATTGCTCGTAAATACATATATCTTCAGTCACTTTCTCGGTTACTTTGTAAATACAATATTAGTGATTCAACAATTAATTATTGTTCAACAATATTCAATTACCATTTACAAAAACATGTAACAAAACTTTCTAACGTTACATTGCTTGGAAAAGAAGTAGAAATTTTCCTTACTATTGAGGAGACAGATGTCTTTATTGAGAAAGCAATACGTATAACAAATATATGTTTTGAGAAAATGATAAAAGATCATGTCAAATATTATTCCCGATGTTATGTCAAACAAGGAAGCAAAACAATCGATCACATTGTTAAATTAGACGATGACTCGTTTGCTTGTATAGAAAGAATTTTTGTTAGTAGTTCTTTAAATGAACAGACACCATCGATTTTTGTTCTTTTGACTACAATTATTTTGGATGATACAGAGATTGTAATATCATATCCTTTACAAGGTAAAGTTTCTCATATAAAGTTATGCTCTTTTCACATGTTTGGAAGTTTAAAAATTCGTTCTGTACAGAGCATTGTCCAGAAAGCTATTATGATAAATTGTATTCTGAATCTTATATTGCACAATTTCCTAATACTTTTGAAGGTGACTGAAGATATATCAGAACAGCATAATAATTTTTACTACAAAAAAATATTTTTGTTTAAACATTTTTTTTAATAAATAAAATTCTCTGTAAAAATTTAATTTAATTTATACATATATATATACTTTTGTATTGTAAATTTAATTTGTATACTTATAAATTTTACTTTGCAATAAGATTAAAAATTGTACTTAAATAAATAAAATATTTTATGATATCAAAAAGAGGTATAAGCATATTATTTGTACTTATTTGTGTTTATTCTTCATATTTTTATTACATATGGAATATTCAATAATAAATATTATAATCCCTGAAATCCATAGAGAAAGATTACTGTTGCATAAATAGCATAATATATTGCCGATATCTTGTCGATTTATAATCGACATCTATAGATGTATACATATCAATTTGATATATAGAAGATATTGTATAAGTATCGACTCTGTGATATCGATCAATTAATGATTTAATTGATATCTAATAGATCTTATATTTAAGTCGAGTCGATATATGGAGATGTAGATTTGACTTCCGTATGATATAAGTTGAATAATGATTAGATCGTCGACATCTACACAATATTTTCCAGATATTGTGATAAAATCGTCGAAATATCGAATTGATTATTGATTTGCATATGATCTCAACTTGATTTCAATATGATATTTACCAGATTCTTTATCGACTTGTGAACCAGGATCACCCCACAAAATTCGACTATTCCTTGTTTTCCTTTTTGCCAGGACACTCGGAACGGAAGTGACCCTTCTTGCCACATTCCCAGCACTCTTTCTCTTCATTCTTATTCCCAACAAGTTTTCTAAATTTATTTTTATTAATTCTTTCCTCTTTTTGCTGATTATCTTTCTTAAAACTTTGATTCTTTTCTTTTTTTTAAATTATAAAAATTTTTCTCTTTATTCTTTTCAAAATTTATATTACTTTCTTTTTTGCGTTCAAAAGTATTTTCTTGTATTAATTTTACCGCTTTTGCTCTCTCAACAGCCACCTTCAAAGTTGTTACTCTCTCCAATTGTAAAGCTCTCTTCACGAAACCGTCAGAAAGAGCGGAGACAAACTACGCGCATGCTATTTTATCAAGCGTTGAATCAGGACACTCAGGATATGCTAACTGTGCAAGTCTTTCATGTCAGAACCAAAAGATGCTGTTTTCTCCGAATTTCTATTTTCTATTAGTGAACTGTGAATAATAATTTTGTAACGATTGCGTTTCTCTAAATTGTAATTCCAATTTTGATTTTAATTCCGTATAATTTAAATGTTCTAAATTTTGCACGTTTTCCAGTACTGTACACGCCTTTTCTCTCAAACACGGTATGAGCACGGCGGTTGTCTTTGTCTCCTCTCCCCAACGGTTCACACGAGTAATTACTCGAATTACTCGAAAAATTCGTGCAAGGGAGCACTCCCGTCAAATGTGTCCGGCTTTATCTTAAAACCCATTGCTCCGCGAAGCGAAATATTTGAGTCGGCTCGATCGCCAAAACTCGCGACAACTTCAATACTTTCCGATTGCATATATTCGCGACGTTTAAATTACGATCACGCGCAACATTCTCGTTATTATTGGAAGGACTTAGCTGTTCAGTCGCAGTTCCTTGCAGCCTCTCTTGGAGCTATCGTATTTCGGCTGCTGCAGTATCGCCTCAAAGTCGGTGCGCTGCCGCTGCTGCTCCTCGCATAGAGTCAAACGCGGCCTGTTGCTGCTGTCGCAACTCTGTCTAATCTCGCGCAGTTCCTCCAGCGTAGAACGGAGGACCTCTGTCAAACTCGTCGCCTCCCGCCGTATGTGTGCACGTCCTCTTTCTCGTTGTTGCCATCACCGCACGACACTCCGTAATGTTTGCAATCTCGGAAGGGTGATGCACTCTATCGATCCCGAAGGATGACGCACCGATCCCAGACGAGCCCCCAAAATGTTACGCCCGGGGCGGTCGAACTCGCGCTCGCGCACTCGCTTGTGTATAGCTTGCGTTTCAGCACTCGCGTACGCGCACGCGCACCGGATCGTCGCGGAAGAATAAAGGGGACACCAATTTAAAATAAGGAACACTCTTTTTATTGTAACATCGTATCATATAAGGAAAGGAATCGGAGCACGTTCGAACGGTACGACAGTTTACCTCCAAATTGTCAGGAAAACAGTCTCTTCTCGCCGACAGCTCGACCGGCTCGCTGGTACATGGAATGACGCGGACTTAGACACGGGCGTAACAATATTAATATCTCAAAAATTATAACAAAGATCGCAAAATGGTACAAGACTTTTTTGTTCAGTTTGGTCTAAACTACCTGCCCACGAGCGCTGTACCATTGAGTATCAGACACTATGTGTATACAGGGTGTCCCATAATAACCGCCTAAAATCTTATGGGCTGGTAGAGCAGATTAAACTGAACAGAAAAGTCCTCTACCATGTTGCAAAAGTCGCAATCGTTAACGAGATATTAATTTTTGAAGATTGGTAAATAAACGCGTATTTGTCCGACCCACCGCCAAATTGAACAGAAAAGTCTTTTACCATTTTGCAAAATTCGCAATCGTTAACGAGATATTAATTTTTGAAGATTGACGAATAAACGCGTATCCGTCCGGCCAACCGCTGAATACCAGCGGTGGGGCGGTCGTGCCAGCCATATCTCGCCGCGTTGCTAAGCGTGTGGGGATAGAGTCTATCCCCTACATGCCTAGCAGCGCGGCGAGATACGACTGGCACGACCGCCCCACCGCTGGTATTCAGCGGTGGGCCGGACGGATATGCATTTATTCGCCAATCTTCAAAAATTAATATCTCGTTAACGATTGCGAATTTTGCAAAATGGTAGAGGACTTTTCTGTTCAGTTTAATCTGCTCTACCAGCCCACGAGATTTTAGGTGGTTATTACCGGACACCCTGTATATATATATATGTATATACAAGATGTTTCCGGGTTAAATGGCCAAACTTAAAATATAAATTCAGGACATGAAAACAAACAAAAATTTTCCTCTGGACGTATGCTCGCAAACGCTTCTTTCAAGAGATATTTACTTATGAAGTTACAGAACTGTAATGAAATAAATAATGTCAAAATAAGATACATCCTCTTTATTGCTTTATAATAATCAAAATTAGTTATTACATTAAATGTTTTATTCAAAATGCTAGCCTCCAGTCCGGAGACAAGCATTGCACCTATCAATGACAGAACGTGTGGCTGACTGACATTGTGCGTCCGTAATTTCTTCGTACGCTTGCTCAATTCTTTGTTTTAATGATTGAAGGTCATTAACACGCATTTCATACACTTTTTGCTTCAGAGTACCCCATACAAAAAAATCTAGTGGTGTTAAATCCGGTGAGCGCGGAGGTCAAGCCACAGGTCCGATCCATCTTCTGGAAAAATGAGTATTAAGTCACTGTTGAGGACCTCTGCCATAGTGAGCAGGACAGCCATCCAATTGAAACCAGTAATTCATTCTCATATTCAAAGGAATGTTTTCCAAACGGTCATACAATTCATTGTTCAAAAATGCAAGAAATCCATTCGCATTCAAGCGAGTTGGTAAAAAATGGGGTTCAATTAAAATATTGCCCATTATTCCTAACCATACATTACACTGAAAACCGTATTGGAAATGTTGCTCTTGGATTGCTCGAGGATTCTCATGTGACCAAACATGACTATTTCTTTGATTGAGAATACCTTGCCTGGTAAATATGGCCTCATCTGTCGATAAAATTTTTTGTAAAAGTTGTGGATCATTATCTGTTTGATTTAAAAACCAATCGCAAAATGTTCTTCTGCATGGTATATCAGCCGGTAATAAATGCTGAACACGTTGAAAGTGGTATGGATAACGTTCATCAGCTGAAAGTGTCTTCCATATGACTGTGGGTGAAATTCTTAATGCAAAACTAGATCTTCGGGTACTTGTTGATGGATTTTGATCAAAATGCTGCAATATGATGGCTGTTCTTCTTTTATTTTGCAGTAGTGCAAAAACTCCATCAGCCCGGGGGACCATGTTAAATGACCCAATTTCCTTCAGTCGTTGAAATGTTAAAGAGAACACTGATTTATTCGGCAATCTTCTGTTCGGAAATCGCGCGGTGTATTCACAGCGAGCAGCGTTAGATTCCGTCACAAAACCCATATAAATATACCATATTGGCATATTCACTATTAGAATACATACGAGGTACGATTATAAATTTATTCTACAAAAGCATTCAACGAACTAATAACTATGAGCTACGAGCTATGAACTGCGAGCTTTGCGAACAAAAGCCTATCAATGACCTTCGAGCTTCAACTTCATAAGTAAATATCTCTTGAAAGAAGCATTCGCGAGCATACGTCGGAGGGAAATTTTTGTTTGTTTTCATGTCCTGTAATTATATTTTAAGTTTGACCGTTTAACCCGGGAACACCCTATATACATATATGTATACATATACATATGTGTATATATACAGGGTGTCCTAGAACTGGCGTACCGCCAAGTACCAGCGTATTTTCTGTGAAATTCTAAGACGAAAAGTTCTTTACCAAAACGCGATCCGATAAATAGAATTTGAACGGTAAGCTATTGAAGTTCACAAATGGGCGCGCGTGAAATTCGCGCGGTCAGGGTCGACACGACAGAGACTGGCGCGAGGTACTTCAGACACTTGCACCGTGTCATAACGTGTTTCTTATTACTCTATTTTGCATTTAATTTAATTAATTAGTCCAAAATGTTTAAAATACATGATGAATTTGTTATAATACTTTAAAAATTGTTGAAAACATGTGCAAATTA